CATCCAGTACATACGCATGTTCGCCATATTTGGAAAATTCCTTTCATCCGCGAATAGTGGCCTTGCCTGTAATTTATAAAACCGATGCAGAAAATTTATCATTCAACTAAACCAAGATTCAAAATTACTTAACTAAAAAGATATAACAAAAGAGAGAAAAACGTAACAAATACCCATTCAACAAGAACACGGTCGTTCCCCCTCCTCGTTCTGTCAAAAGCCTTTCGACCCGTAATAATTTCCAACAAGACTACTCCAAAGGTATATATATCGGATTTCGAAGTGAGTTGACCGGTCAGAGCATACTCCGGAGCACAATAGCCATGAGTCCCCATAACCCTAGTCGTGACGTAACTTTTATCTCCAACGGGCCCTAGCTTTGCAAGCCCGAAATCCGATAATTTGGGAACATATCCATCACCGAGAAGTATATTCGAAGGTTTCAAGTCTCTGAATATGACAGCTAGATCTGCCCTGTCGTGCAAGTATTCTAACCCCCTTGCTGTACCATCAGCAATCTTCATTCTCGTGTTCCAATCTAGAGGTTGTTTATCTGGTTGAAGATCTGCATACATATAATCAAAATGTATCACGTGTTTGGTTTTTAGGTTTCGAGCCCGTGATTAAAACGGGCCCGGAATTTTATGACACGATCCTATGAAGGATATTTTACCGAAGACAAGTATATACTTATATATATCACAAACATAAGATAATCACACTTTACATTTATCATTATCATGGACAATTTAATCCTATCCAATCTAATCAATCCTATCAATATTCCCAAATGCTAATGTGCATGAAAAGTTGAACAAATTACATATTTAGAATGTGATTAGAGTCTAAAGTATTACTAATTTCTTCGAGCTCTCTAGTCAATTAATACCATGGAAAATCAAGAACTATGGCATAAAAGTAAAGATTACAAAAAAAAAAAGAAGAAAAAAAAAACCAACCATGTAAATGAGCATCGAGCGATCCCAATGGCATATATTCGTAAACCAAAATACGTTCGTCACCATCGGCACAATACCCTATAAAATTTATGAGATTCGGATCGTTTAAAAGGGTAAGCATCGAAACTTCAACCACGAATTCTTGATTTCCTTGCATCCCACTATGATTAAGTCGTTTAACCGCAACCACCTAAAAATAAAAATAAAAAAAATAAAAAATAATTTATTTTTTTCGGACTAGCAATTTTTTTAAGGAACACAAAATATACACTAAAAATTATTTGGAGGGCTCGACGATATATTTTATACTAGGATTTTGAAAAGTGGTGGAGGGGGCCATGGCCCCCCTCCATGCCCCTATGTTGAAGATGACAAACCTGTCCCGTTCTTGGGAGGCAACCTTTATAAACACAACCGAATCCACCTTCGCCAATTTTGCCCTCTGGTCTGAAATTGTTTGTTGCTTCACAAAGTTCACTAAATGTGAATACTTTTGAATTAGCATTTGCCCCTTGCGGTGTTGCTGCTTCTGGGATAGGAAAAATAAGATTTAAACGCGAAGAAAAAAAAACGAGGATACGTTTTAAAAAACGACAAGCGAATGCGAGCTGTTCAAATCAAGAAATTCAATACAAGGGCAGAAATAATTTTCGATCGTAATTTGAAAATAATTTGAAACTCGAAGATAATACAAGGCGTAAACCGAATACCACTGTTTCTTGAAAATACTTTTTCGGTTAGTTACAAGGCGTAAACCGAATACTGCACAACGAACCGTTTGTTCCACCGTTTATTGAAAATACTTTTTCGGTTAATTATACCGTTTATCGTGTCGAAAAATAATATAGTTAGCTTCATTACAATGTGAACAAAAGCAAATCATCAAACCACTAATAAATAAAGTGGGAAAAAATAAAATAAATTCAAGATTACGAATAAAATTATGACCTAAATTCATGAAGATCATAAAAAAAATTGGAAACCCCACAATTGATCAAATACATAAAAAAAAAAAAAGGAATTCCAAAAATGGTGTTTTACCTAAATTCACTCTGTTACTGCTTGACTGAGCAGCTGATGAACTTTCTCCACGAGAATTATTCGTTGACTCTTCGTTGACTCCACTTCTACGGATGCGTCCAAAGCAAGGCAAACAACCCATAATTGCAATATTTAACTCCCTAAAATAATGAAAACCCACCTCACAATTACTTCTGTATGTATTTTTCTCCCCGTCTGCAACGAAAATTTTCACCGCCAACTGTGTGTATTCTCGATCAATAAACCGAAGAAAATCTTGATTGCTCAATGGAAAGGGTAACGAAGAAGGAGAAAAAAAAGTTGGGAAGAAAGGTGAAAAGGAATGCAACTAATAAAACCCTGAAAAAGAGAATTATGCTGATATATATATATACATTCGTATATCTCTGTGTGTGTGTGTGTGTGAAGAAATGTGGTAGTTAAACAGAGCGAGAAATGGGTAAAATTTGAAAATTAGAAGAGCGAAATTAGGGGGTGTTGTTTTAGTCTGCGTAATCTTCTTGGAAGTTGGAACTGTTGTAACAGGAAGATGGTTGTATCCGAGTGTAATTAACTACTTTCGGGGAGTGAAAAGCAATTGACTGTATTTCTAGGGGTTAAATTGAAATTTTGGAAATATTGGAAAAATTAAAATTAGAGCAAAGCGAAATTGGGCCGTGAAGCCCACCTTATTCATACTAATTTTGCCACGTGTGTTGTACGTATTTATTGGAAGTGAAGAATTAATTAAGAGAATAATTTTTTTATCAAGAAAAGGGTCTAATTCTTATTTAGAAACTATTTTCAATTTTGGTTACAAAAAAACTCAATTTTTTTATATCGAGCCCCAAATAATTTGGAAAAAAATATATATTTTATTTTACTAACACTGGCCGATATAGCCCAAATGGCTGAACTGGATATACGGAAATATAATGTGCCTTAATCAAAGAAAACCCAAACAAGAAGTTCACGTGCTCCTAGGAGAACTGCAAAAAGGAGTGTCGGGAAAGTTTTTTCACGACGTTAATACTCGGACGAGCGTCTATCAGAATACTAGAGACAGTCTTCCCTTATACTTAAAGAATGTATGTAATAACTTATGCATATCGTAGGGATGTGGTAGTGCCCCCCCTACCATGCATGCATGTATGTGATCAGATCACACATGAGATGATGTGATTACTTCGAGTTGTGCTTATCTGCGGAGGGTTGAGTTGCTTCGTTTGTTGTGAGCTGAGGCTAGTTCGATGTGGAGAGCACGCATGCGTGATCGCTTCTTTTTGAGCGGCAAATAACATTCGGTCGTTTGGAATGTAGTCACATCCAAAATGAGCATAAGTCGAGCTTTATTTGTCGAATTCTTATTACTTATTTTCGGGCAATCGAGCGCATATACTCGAATTTTTAACACTTTAGTATAATGGCCCTATTGTGTCAATTTACATAATATCTTACTATAATAATTAAATGTTTTAATTAATTTACACATTTTTTATATTTTAATTTTCTTAGATTTTCAAAGAGTGGGACTACTTGGAGATAACTAACATTCACATGCTTAACACGTGTTTGATTATTGGATAATTATATATATATTAAAAAAAAAAAAAAAACAATGTGGAATGATTGTGTACTGTTGGGTATATTTGGGGTTCCTGAGACCTACATTTTGGACCGCAAATAAGTGAACGTGATTCAAGGATTGGAATAGACAGAGTTATGTATGCATAGATGCAATTATTTATTTATTTTCCTAATTACTAATTATCAAGGTTCTAAAAGGCGGTTATCGGGTACGTGGCGGTTAGGGACCGCCACACGATAAATCGGCGCGGCGGTGATTTATCGGAGATAAATCGGAAATATATCGGTTTTTAAATTTAGTGTAATATATTTCAAAATATTATTTGTAAATACTCAAAATATATATAAAAGAATATTTAAACATAATTCTATTCTATCATTCATATGTTATTATATAATTCTAATTACTCAATAAATAACAAAAATTTAAAAATAATAAGATCATAATATAATAAAAAATTCTTACGAAATACAAATACTACGCAATTCTTTCGTATCAACAATTAATATAAAAACAACAAAGCATAAATTGCGGGGTAGTACTTGGTTTGGTTTTGGAAGTTAAAAGAATTGGAGAAAAACAAAAAATCAAAACATATTTTCATTTTAATTTAAATTTAAAAAAAACAAAAAAAAAAAACCGATTTGTTGACCGATATATCGGTTTGACCCGCCAAAAAACCGCCGCAAACCGCCTCGCCATAAAAAACCGATATTTCAAACCGCCTCAACAAAATCGTAAAGGTTTATAACCGATACCGATATGGCAGCCGATATATCGACCGCCACGACCGCTATTTAGAACACTGCTAATTATACCCCACAAATTCCTCAATTTGTAAATTGTACCCCCTTTTTTCTTTTCTAATTTTCAAATTGAGCTCTCTATTGTACATTTCATATTAATATTTAGTAGTTTTATTTCATTATTTCAATATTATTGTATTTCTTTTGTGTAATTAAGTACATGCTTTTGTAGCTTCTACACCAATTAAATATACATCGAGCGATCTTGAGCCATTAATTTAAATATAATAAACACACTCATTTGTATGCTTGTCTTTAGGGGATGATTATTTATATAGATTTACGATCCAAAACGAACCAGTGTATTCATCGAGTGTAGCATCTCGTAAACTAGTATATTATAGAATATTGGCCTAAAAGGATTAAGACAAATTTGGAAGAAATAAATTTCCATTATTGCAAGAGTACTATAATTCCTCATAATACACATGCTTGACAAAAGTGATAGAAATTCTGTTTACTATGTGCAAAGAATGTAATATGTTCTTCAACCTTTTTTGCCCTTTATTTATTTATTTATTTTTATTTTTATTAAAAAAAATCACTTTTTGTTGTAAGAATAAGAAAGAACCATATATGTTACATTCATGCATATAACAAATTAACTCACTTATTCCCGTGACCATATTATAATAATCAACCATAAATAACTAACTAACTATAATAATTAGATCTTATTCGATGAAGTTCGGTAAGTTCAATAACTTTTTGGGTCGACCCGTAATTATAAAAAAAAAAACTCTTAACAGCTTGTTTATCATGGGATTATTATGTCCACTAAACCTCCTCTAGTTGACTAATCCAATTAAGTTATCACAAAATTGCAAAATCTTATCTCGGGAAATAAACGAATTTCGATTCTGATTAAATTAATATTAATTGTTAGGCCTCGTTTGGTTGGGTAGATTAATTAGTTATAATTAACTAAATAATTGAACTTTATTTGCTGTTCCGTATTACACCGGGTCGATCCGCAAATATTATGTTATCATATATATACCTTCTTTTACCTTCTGGGCATGCTTTTTATTAGATTATTGAAGGTTCAATAATATAATTGTATTTCATTAAATTATTTAATTGGCAACTAAACAAGGCCTTAATCATTCGATAAGCTATATTTATATATAATCTGTAAGGAAACCATCTTATATGTATATATATGTAACTCATCAAATCCAGTACTTAATTTCTACATATATACAAAAGCAAAGAAAAATTAAAAAAAAAAAAAAACAGCAATTTCTTGCATAATACAAACTGAAGTATATATTTAATTTGCCTTAATTTTTTTTTTTATCAGCCACATTTTGAAAATTATATTACTTAATAAATAGCTATCAAAGCCAAAGAGCTCCAGCATCTTTGAGCATCTTCTTCAGTGAACCATCAATGTGGAGAGTCAATACATTTTTCGACGACCCCACTAATTTTCCTCCGACGAAGACAGCTGGCAGGGTGGGCCCACTGCACCCGAGCCTGACAAGGGCTCGTTCCATCTCCCTCCCGTTTACAAGCTCGTCGAGCTCATACACCGTAGGGCTGACACCTTGCTCGTAAAACAGCCTCTTTATTGCATGGCACATGCAGCACGTGCTCTTACTGAATATCACTACCGCCCTTTGTGAAGCCAATTTCAATACACAATCCATTCTCTCTCTCTCTCTTTTTTTTTTTTGCAAATATTTCGAAGTGGAGAGAAATCGAAAATGTAGTCGAATGTCGAATTTGTGATGGTGTTTTGATTTCTTGTTGTTGTGATTATAAGCTATATATGTGTGTGTGTATATATAGTGGCAAAAAGGAAATATTAGGATATATATGAATATCTGCATGCATGCATTAGTTTAATGCATATAATTGAAGTAAAGGTGAGAATTAGATGCTGTCAAGATCTGCATGTGCTAATGCTTCTTGATTTGTATATATTTAGTATTTTTCCAATGGTTTTATATATTGATTCAACTAACTGCAATTCAAGTTCACATTGTTTTAGAGCTAATCTTTCCAAAAATATATTATAAAGAAACGTGCTAAGAGATGAGAATCTAGGGGTAGAAAAATAGGAAACTGCAGGAGATGTCACTTGATGTAAAGAATTAATTTATTAAAAAAAGTTGGTAATAATATATAGTGAACATTTTGATTCTTTAGTGGTTTGAATGGAGACTGGAATTGCCAAGTTCATGCAGCAGGAATCAATGACTAAGGAACCAACTGCATGTGTAGTTAGGCTAGAGTCAATATTAATTATTGTATGTATGATTTAATAAATTTAATATAAATTATTTTTCTTATCAAAAAAATAAAATTATTTTGGAAGTAAAATGACTTGACTACATAATATGACACGGAAACTCGGAAAGTAATCCCGCTTGAAGGATGCAATGAAATCCATTATGTTGTCCATGAAGACTTGCGACCGAATCCAGTTGCCCGATCGAGCGCTTTCCGCAGATGTAAACGTAACCAATACAAAACTACAAATACGGAAAAATTTAAGACCGAAAGTCTATAAATTAGAGAAAGCTTTCATCATTTTGGTAGTGGCTGCAGATTCCACTTTATTAGCCTTCTTTTCTCCTTCTCTTTGGTGGTTTTGACTGTTCATACATGAGTTCTACAACAGCTTTCCCGAAAACTTTGAGAATAATAGAGATTTTGTAGGTTTTGTTTCTTTGAAAAATCGACAGAGAAAGAGAAATCCAAGAGAGAGTGAAATAACCTAATTTTTTTTAGAGATTCTATAAGATAGACGCACACTCAAATTTAACACCGTCAAAAGTTTGACTATTAACCATTAAAAATAGGAAGGTGTTTGATATTTTCTATACATCACGAAATAAATAATACATTTTGCATAGTACATGGATGCAAGATGGAATAGGAAGGTAGATATAAACTAACATATTTCAACCTCAAAGACGATGAGTTCAAGATGCCGAACGACAAGCATGGGATTTTCGAGGTCCAAAGACCTACTTACATGATTGATTTCGGAGGCCGTTTGTGCGTGTATATTTACGAACAAAGAGACAAAGTTGTTCATATTTGGATAAAGGAAAAGGGCGTGGACAATAATTCCTTGAAAGAGTTGATAACCGTTGAGAATGTCGAGAGGTTTGCTTTCTTTTTTTGTACCAATGTGTTTCGTAGAAAATAAGATTTGTCATTCAATTGGACGGGACGACAATTGTGGGTACAACCCTTCTGAGAAGACGTTTGAAGAATTTGAAGACATCAAACATTATTTCGACTTTCTATTTGTTCCATATGTGGAAAGTCTAATATCCCCTAACACAATTTTTATTGGTCTAAGAATTTTCACCGAAAATAGTCGTACTGCACAACTCTGTAGAACATCACACATATGCTATCGAAACACAAGTTCTATATGTTTGAAGTCTCTCTTTTCTAAGGGCAAAATAAATGCAGCCACCTTCACTCTACGGATAAACACATTAAATTGCGAGATGTTGGTCATGTAACGAAGGAGGTGTCGAATACAATCTTTTTGAATTTTCAAACTCAACTTTGAAAGAACAGGGTCGGCTTTAGGACCGTCGCCAACTATGAGAATTTAGTATGGATAATAAGGGATTAACTGTAGTTTTCGTCCCTATACTTTACCACTAAAATGATTTTTCTCCTCGAACACGACATTAGTTCCCAAATTCACCTCTTTTTGGCACTTTTGGTTCGGCTGTCAAGTTTCAGGTGTAATGTGCGCTGCACGTGATGTCGATTTGGCAGTCAAAGTCTAGCTGGAAGTTGGAACACACCAACAATAATCCACCTCACACTCTTCCCTAATTTCTCTAACCCGACTTCCCAATTTATTATTTCACTCTCTCAATCCTATAAGCCCTTAGCAAACCTAAATCCCCAATTTTTCTTATCCCGTAAGCCGCAACAAACGTAATCCCAAATTTTATGCTACATCAAACAACTTTTGATGAAATCAAAACTGCAAACTTACCAAATTACCAAAACGTAAGTTAATAGATAACAATTTTGGAGAAACTTAACAAAGTTAAGTTAATGGCACTTTTAGTTCTTATACTTTTCATCTTCATTTTCATTTTCAGTTAATACTCTCTTGGGACATTTCATCAAACACCACCAGCTCATTTATCGCAAGACTACTCGTTGACAACATATATCAACTATCGAGTGTTTAGCATGATTCTGTACCTTGGCTTTTCAACAGCATGATTTAATTTTCTTCTACCCTTTTTTTTGTTTGAAGGATCATATAATAATACTATAATAATCAAATATATTACATGCAGACCATACTCTTGTGCTACTAAGGTCGTAAAGCTTTGATCCGATACCGATCGATCTCAACAAAAAAATAATTAATTAATTAAATAAATAAATATAGTACATTTAATTCGTTCTCACACAATCTTGCACAAGATTTGGTACAATGATCAACCAATCTAGAACAAAGCTATAAGAATATACTGTATGGGGCTTAAGAAAAAACCATTTATCTATATATAGTGGCAGAGTCAGAATTTTATGTTCGAGCGGTCGAATATATTACAAAATTACGAAGGAGACTGTTAATACTATTGTAAAAAAAAAATTATATTTATATTTATATATAAATTAACAGAGATTGATTTGAGAAATATCGGGGGCATGCCGCCCTGGCCCATTACTGGCTCCGCCACGTGTGCGTATATATTTTAAAATATAATGTATTTGAATAGTACTCAACATATAATTAATTTGTGTTTGTATATATAGAGAGAGAAAAATAGATACAATGTTATATGGGCCGGGTAAGTAACCCTATAAATAAACCGGCCTTTCGATGTATTTTAGGGGCAGTTATGGGCACTTGTTCTGTGCACTTGTACTCTGTGTAAATAATATATATATTCTGAAATAAAATTTGAAATTTGATCATTCGAGTGAGGGTAATTTGGTCATTTCACATGCCCGGAGAAATTTCAAAAATTTCACACACTAGGATGAGAAACATATACACACTTTATGAAGTGATGAGGCAAGATTCGGAAAATTGGTGACGAAATAAAAGCTTGAAAATGAAGGCAAGCTTTACTACTGTTGAGATTTGTCTAGAGAAAGTTGTGTTAATCTATTCACCATGTGAGAACAAATTTCCTTTTCCGATTCCTATTTTTTTCGATTTTTATTTTATTTTCTTTTGTAAAAGATAAAACACTATCGAAGCCCCGGCGGCCTTTCGAAAAGAAATTATGTCCCTTTCCCGAATGAAATTACGTTCAGAATAATGCTTCTCAAATCGAACTTCAAACGAATTTTAGAAACGTTTGATCTTGATGATTTGATTGTTACAATTAAGAAAATAAAAATAATAATAATTTGTTTGTTATCTTGGATTGGTTTAACTCTTTGATTTGATTGTTACAATAAAAATAATAATAATAATAATAATTTGTTTATTATCTTGGATTGATTTAACTCTTTAGGACAAGTGAAAAACAGACACGTGGCAATATAATTATCAAAAATTCATATTTGACATTAAAATGTGCTACAAAAAACATATCATGATGTCATACAAAAATACGCATAATAATAAATAAAATAAAAATGATAAAGGCAAAGAGGATAACATTGCGGTTGTGGACCATCTTACATATGCATTCTTTCTTTTTATCCACCACATTATACTATGCACAGGAGCGCTGCCAAT